GCATTTTTCCTCACCGTTGGCATTTTAAAGAGGTTACACCTCCACCCCCCAAAATCCCCCAGCCACCAATTCGGGTTGGGGAATTCGGGAAGTTGAAGTCCACACATCTTCAAGTTGCCAAGGTTGAGAAACACTGCTGTAGAGACTTCAAGTTGAGCTTGACTTCTGGTTTCATAGACACATCCATTAAATCCAAGAATTTCTTTTCAGTTTCCCCATCTAGCCTACAACCCTACTGTTTTCTAGTAGTCTCCTTTCCAAATACTAACCAGGTCTGACCCTGCTCAGTTTTTCAGGGTCAGCCCAGGTGAACAGAGATTCTGTTACCTGCTCAGGGACAGCTAAACTGAGTTGGCAGTTTATGCATAAAAGTAAGATCAAATGGAGGATATGCACTATTGTAAAGAATTGTGCCAGATTTTGAGTTTACTGAATAACGGTTTAATCTGAAGAAAAGGTATAAAGCCTTCAGGGCATTTTTTTCAAACTGTGCCCGCCAGGGTGCAATTCCCAGCCAGCAAAGCCTTTGGAAGTTGCCGTCCAGACTCTTCTGAAGGGCTCCATCTTGGGGAAGGCTGGTTTAATGCACTGTAGCTGGAGAGAAATTATTTGGTTCAGAAATGGACTTTTAATCTCATTTGTTTATGAAGACCTCATACCTAATTCTTCTTCCCTCCCTCCATCCCTCCCTCCCTCCCTCCCATCTACTCACCAACCAGCTTTTTGTCTGCCTCAACCTTTGAAGTTAAGCATGGCCGGCTAAGGATGGAAATGTGGGTTTCCTCAGCCATGGTTTGATATTCTAGTCAGTACTGCCACAGGAATGCCTTGCACCCTTTGAATGAGCCAGACACTTTAAAGAATGGCTGTTTCAAGCTTCTCATACAATCTTCTTACTGACTACCTCAGAAATGTAAATAATACTACTTTCTTTTCCTCACATTTCTTGAAATAGCATTTTGCTTTCAAGATGCTGTTCCCCTGGGTTTACTGGCACTGGCAACTGTAGTAGAAAACTGGTTAATTCTGTTCTCCCTTTTTAAGGCAGGGCTTGGAAGAAATAACCTATTATTATACATTCTGCCCTGTTTTTTTTGGCCACCACTAAGTCTATACTATTTTGGCCACCACTAAGTCTATACTATTTCTGAGCAGAGTTTGTCAAAAAGTGAAACAACAGAGCATGAAGAAAATGCTTTTTAGATTGCTTTCTCATTTAAACGAAACAACAAAACTAAATCAAGAAAATACAGAAGTATAAAAATCAAACTAAAAACCTACAATCATCAAATAAACTCCTTTAAAGTATATGCAATTAAAGTTAAGAGCATTTGAGCACAAAATGTATTTCTAGAGCTTATTATAATTTGGAATAGAGAAAAACAGAATGAGAGTCATGGTCTCTGAGAAATACAGTATTTGTATTTTGCTATACAATTTATATATTCATTAACAGCATTGGTACCCTAGTCCTGTCCTCAAATTCACAGCACAGAAAGACAAGACAACAGGGAGGGAAAACGAAAGCAAGATAACTCAAGCACTAGTTCCGAATGTTTCTGGTTGCTTTAACAATCATATCTCTGATGGAAATTGATTGCTCAGGGAGACAATTCTCAGAGCAGAGGATCTTGTTATTCCTCCCCAGAAGGGAGTTGATCTCAGTGGCCTTTATAAGAGGGGAGAAGCTAATTTCAAGCGGATGTGGCAGATTCTTGCTGCTTACTTCTCTTCTTCCTCGGTGGGTGATTGATTCCAAAATCCCCTTGAGGAAATAAAAGCCCCCTCTACCACCTCCAAGCCAGGTGGTCAAGCAACAGCAAGAGGAGATAAATATTGGAAATTCACCACTTCTGATGGGCCAGAACAAGAGTTGCACATCTATACATGTCCATAAGGAAGACCCTTTTGCAGGATGGAGGAAAGCAGAATTCAGATTTGCTCTGCATGTGTTATACCAATGGAGTAAACCCCACTGACAGGTGACAGCACCTGGGCCAACCTGTTCTGAGGTTGGAAGATAATTATGGTTGGATATCTGACCAGATTAATGTTTTGGTGGAAGGCTAATTAAAAAAAAAAGAAAAAACAGGATTGTAGGCTAGACTGGGAAGTTGAAAAACCACTTCTGCACGTTGCCGAGATAACACATGGATGTGTCCATGAAATCACCAGTAATTGAGATTGATGTGAGGTTATCTTTTTCTTTTTAACTTACATCCATTTGATTCACTGAGAAAAATTTTGAAGTAGAAATGTCTCGGATTGTACTGTTAGAGGCTAAAAGAGTAACAGAACTGATTCAGACTTCAGCTTCTTGGAGAACTGAATTCATGCTATCTGGATCTCTCTGTCCAACTAAAGCTGATTTTGTAGGGTGCTTCAATGACTAGCCCTTTGGATAATTATGGAAGTATTTCCTCTCCCACTGGATAAAGTACTGACAGACACGTCTTCACTATAGTGGCAAGGTCAGTTCCCTACACACTGGACAAAGATTTCAAGTTGTTTTAAAAATGCAAACATAAACCAAATTAGCTATACATGTATGACATTAGCATCTATATTCACTTGAAATTATGACTATTTTTCCCTACTTGGGAGAGTCATTTTCAATTTGCTGAACATGGAAACATATGAGTTTTTTATTTCCTGTCTGATCTACCATTTTTGAGGAGGGTATTGTTCTCTTCATCTTAAGCTTAGGTAAATGTAGTAATACCTATGTGTTGCCAAAATATCTCTTTGCTTCTCAGTATAATGGGATGTGTATGCAAGGACCTATTGGTATGCCTGGAAGGGATGGAAACCCTGGAATCAACGGAATCCCTGGAACTCCGGGTATCCCTGGCAGAGATGGGCTTAAAGGAGAAAAAGGAGAATGTATGAGAGAGAGCTTTGAGGAATCCTGGACACCTAATTATAAGCAGTGCTCATGGAGCGCCCTGAACTATGGCATAGACCTTGGAAAAATTGCAGTAAGTAAGCACGATTACAGCACAATATGTAGGCAACCAAGATATGGTGAGGAGTCTGTTCCATATTGCTTTTGCTTGACTAATCATCTGTTCACAGCTAGAGGCTCTGTAGTATCCCATTTTGGCCAAGGTAGATAGCCCGAAGCCATGTGTGGTTCCAGACCATCTCTGGAGTTGGCAGAGACACTATGTTTGCCCTGTTTTTTAGGTTTTAGGAAGGGATAAAGTTGAGAGTCAAAATGGATGTTTGATGTTTCAATCATAAGATTGAAGCTCTGTCCCGTTTTACATCCATGTGATGCATAGAGCACAAGCAAGGCTTTGATCACACAGTTATGGCCACCATTTTGACCCCCTGTAGATGCCCTGGGGTGCCTTAAGCATTGCAAAAACTGCAGGCACCCACTTCACTCTTTGAAACCCCCAACTCCTCAAATCTGAGCATTTTCGCCATTTGGGGGATGTTTTAAGGGATACAGTGGGTATTTGCAAGGCATAAGTTACTTTTGTTGCCCCTTAAACCACTTTACTATCATTGGCCAAGCTCCCATATAGCCAAGGTGGACCCTCAAATGAAACTTACTACTGGTGGAAAACCAGTAATTCATAGATTTAAATAAGTATTTTGTATTAGGATTTAGCCAGGAGACACTCCAGCATGATTACAGTCAAGTTGTCTATCTAACCCTATATGGCAACATGAAGGAAGTAACCATTTTAATGTGTTAATAGCAGATCTTAAATGCTTTTATTCAAAATTGGCAGCCAGTTTTTGCAGCTTCAGAATTATCGATCAGTACATGAAAGCCATTCGTAATAGGAAGGCGTTTAAAACAAACCTTATACTATGAAACATTTTCATGAAAAGTATCTGTGATTACTGACCCTTATGTTTGGACCAGAGCTTAGTAGCTGAATGCATATTTTGCATTAAAAAGTTCCTGGCATTTCCAGATAGGGGCTGAAAAAGATTCCTGACTGAAACTAAAAATACTTTCTACCAGTCATTTTGATCTAGACAGACCCATTGACTGGGTCTGCACATTAAGCCATAATGTGGCTTGTTTGGCTTTGGCCTAGTCTGGGATTCAGCCACTGAAGTTTGTAAACTTGGCTTAGGTGTGAACTCAGCCAACAAATTCAGCAAATTTATTCAACAAATGGTTACACAACCTGTGACTGTACTTTCATAGATACGCACAACATAAAGAAGCTCCTAAGTCAGAAAGCTTATTGCAAGAAACGATGCATGGTCTGCTTCACTTTGGGTAAATTGTTTTATATAAAAAAAAGAATATCTTAATTACAAGTATTGCTCATTGGAACAATTTGTTCGTCCTTACAATTTGGCACTTTTTTTTCCAATCGCGTTTCTTATCAGAAACTGGTCTTTATGAAGGTATCTAGCATATCTTGGGGTTACAGCTATTGCAGAACAGCAGTTGGTTAGGAGAACTGTATTTTTTACAAAGTTTCACTTGTTCTTTCCTCATAGGAATGTACATTCACCAAGATGCGCACCAACAGTGCTTTAAGAGTTCTTTTCAGTGGATCACTTCGACTTAAATGCAGAAATGCCTGTTGTCAGCGCTGGTATTTTACTTTTAATGGGGCTGAATGCTCTGGACCACTTCCTATTGAAGCTATAATATATTTAGATCAAGGAAGCCCAGAATTAAATTCTACTATTAATATACACCGCACTTCTTCAGGTATGTACTAAGGCCATATCATAAAAATAAGGATTTCATGCTAAAGAGCCTGCTCTTTTGTGAAATGATGAACAGATTAGGAATGTAATCATTCATAGCAAGTAAAATTTTGGTGACAAGATAATAAATTGATACAGCTCAATATTCTTTTCAGATGCTAAATACTGATTTTAAGTTTAGATGGTCCTCTCCAGTCTTAAAACATTTAACTCAGGTGCTATGAAGCAGATATACACAATGCTAACTATGTCTGAATTCTCACAAAACACTGGACCACAAACTAGCTCATCATATTTTGGCCTGGGGTTTTGTACAAACTAAATTCAACTTGTTAAGTTATGGTTCCGTATGCCGTGTAAATCCAGAAAATTGGGTGAGTACATGGTTAATCGTAGATAAAAGTCACGTAAACTCAGCCAATGATGTAAACAGTCTTTCTCTTGCAGTGCTACTTCAACAGAGAGAAATCCCGAGTAAGAACAACTTCCAAAAGAAATAATTTAAATAATTAAATAAAACTTCATTTATTTAATTTTTATTAAAAAGGCAATGAAATTTTATGGTATTAATGGCTGTTTATTTTCCTAAAAAAAAACCTCGAAGAAAACAGTGCAATTTCTGTCTCAATCATATTTATTCTTACAAATACTCCAGGCTAATGTGCAAAATACATTTTAAAGTGAGAACATGTATGGAACTTGAGATGGAGGGGGAAGGGAGATTCAAGAGAACTTTTTCTTGCTGTTGGGCCCAAATTTCTCATTTAACTCACAGGAACACTGGAAAGCAACAGAAAGGGTGTGACATCAGGTTCCACCATTCCCCTTTGGCTGGCAAGTGAGGTGATCCTGTGGGGACCAGCCTTGCTTCTTCCTTTCAAGAGTTCAATTGTTGCATCCTTGCCAGCCAAAGACTATAATTGCCGATTGCTTCTACCAATGCTGAATACCGTTATTTTGCAATGGATTATGGGTGAAACCAATGTATTTTATATTTTAAACAGTGGAAGGATTATGTGAAGGAATCAATGCTGGATTGGTGGATGTTGCTGTTTGGGTTGGTACTTGCTCGGATTACCCAAGAGGAGATGCGTCAACGGGATGGAACTCAGTGTCTCGCATAATTATAGAGGAACTGCCAAAATAGAGCTTTCAGCATCTTCTTGCTGTTCCCAGAACAATGTTTGGGACCTTATGTAACCTCTTCCAGTTTCATTTTTGTACATGGAAATAAACATTGGATTATAGCGCACAAGCCTGTTTATAGAAATAAGGTAAAATCTGTTTTGAGCCATGTTTGACTTCAGATAACTTCATAGATAGGTCTGCGCAGTTTTTGCCAGCTACACAGAAGTGATTTATTTCCAGGATGTTTTCGGACTTCCTGGGATTTCCTTGATGGTCTGTGCTAACCAAGCCTGGACCTGCTTAGCTTCCGAATCCAGAGGAGGTCGGCCTGGTGTTGGCCTCTGCTGAAGTCTTACAGAAATACCAGTAACCAATTAATGTTCCATTTTTTAATTCTATGTATCCTTAACATTTTGGAATATAGATCCTGAAGGAGGAATCTATATTAATGCTTACTTTTCTATCAATTTTATATATCCTTGCATTTGTTAAAAAAAAAAACCTATATGAATAGCTAATGTAATTTTATAAAAAAATATAAACAAAAAGCTTTATTCAAGTGTATCTGCTCCATATCCCCAAGTATGGTTTGTTTTCTAATCTTCAAGTTCCTATTGAAAAGAAAGAGAAAACTAATTTTCTTGATATATGAAACAATAAAATAAATGACCTGAAAAAAAATGACCTGGTGCAAATTATTGCAATTGTAATACAGTAACTGAATTATAATTTCATTCCAAAAAAACAAAAAAACAAACCCCCCCCCAAAAAAACACTATCAGTTTCTAGTAGCTGGCCAGTTTAGAGTATCTGAGCATACATAGCTTATTTAGAGCAATTTCCCTGTCCGGTTTAATTAAGCAAACCCATATCATCATTATACAGGGTACAGCTGTCATCTTGATGTATTATATATATGTAGAAGTTCTGCCAGGCATGGTGGAACATATATGCAATTTTTTATTCAAATAAAAATGTAAGAGCAAGTCAATGTACAAATGTGAATCATTATATAAAACATAATGGTAGAATGTACAAATGAACATGATTTTTAAATCTATGTACACCATCTTTACATACAGTTTAATCTCTATAGGATACTGCAAATATGAACAAAAGATAAGCTTCCTGAACAGAATTAATTTCTGAAGTACTTACAAGGACATAGAGTAATTTTTCTAGGGAACTTTCAAACCCAACCATGCTAGCCCTAGCTGTTTGCTGGCTAAGTTTAGAGACATTACTACACCTTGTTCTTATTTGAATGACTTGTTATCTGATATGTACAAAACCCTCCAAAATTAAGATTACATGGAAATCCATGTATAAGACATTTTGTATGTTTATAATTCTTTGCAAATTTGTTGAGTTTTACTATTTTAAAAAAACAAAAATTTAAAAATAAAGTCAACATATGCCATCTTAGAAAAGATATAGTATTTCTGTAGTAGTATAGCTTATGTTCTTTTTGTAATTTTTATTAGATAGGAAAGGAAAAAGTAATTTTCTTAACCACTTATGTTTCAGTAATTTAAATGTGAAATGTAGATTTTGTTCCTTTTGAAAACTCTCACTACAACTCGTTGAAGTTCTCCACAATTTCAAGAGAAACCTGATTACACCAAAGAGGAAGGAAAACAGTGTGTTCATTCACATTTTTAAAAACCTTGGCCATAAATGTAATTAACTTCTGATTCCTTTTTGAGAGGAAATCTGAATGTTTATGATGATAAATAATTGCCTAATTTATTTTGTACACATCCTCCATGTGCCGTTAAAAAGTTTATAATGGTTTTAATAATTTATTTATATTATATACGATGAGTGATGTTTTTCTAATCCAAACCACACTACTAAACACTATGACAATACAGTGCTGACTAAAACATGCCTAATCTCCCTAACTTGAAAAGTGACAAAAATTGTTCTGGCAATTTTTTGTTACAGCAAGTAGAAAAGATTTTATGTGTGAAAACTTCCTGATTTTTTTCAAAGGCTAAACTTACTTGTTTTATTATGGATTACGGTGCTTGATATGTGCTACTTTAAGTAACACAGACTCACAGAAAGATGGGTTACAAATATTTTGATAAATATTATATAGGAAAGCCTACAATCCTATGCAGACTTAAAAACTCAGTGGCAGTTCTTTGTGAGTAAACACAGATACAGTTAATGTCAGTGTGATTAGACATTCAGCAACTGCTATTACTCCTTGCCCTGCCTAAGTTAGATTGGGGGAAGTAGGTAGGGCAGGGTAGCAGGAGCAGTGATATGTGGGGTGGACAAATCACTCTGTGTGGGCAGAGGTCAAAAAAAGAGAAAAGTCTACACTTTGGGAAGAGAGACAAAATATAAATCAAACAGCAATACAATTGGAGCGATGACAAAAGTGGTAATGGGTACTTTTTACCTGCCAGGGCTTGTTATGCTATTTATTCATTCCAATCTCATATAATTTATGCTTAAGTATAAATATTGATTTAACTATGTCAGCATAGACCTTTAGTTTTAGCCCCAGTTTCATAGCAATCAGAACTCACATGATAGGCTTGCTTATCAAGCAAAATACTATTACAGGTAGTCATTGCTTAATGACCACAATCAGTTGTTAAGTGGTGTGGTCATTAACGGAGACATCATGTGAGTGTGACTTGCAATTTTACTGCCAGGTTCTCCATTGACTCTGGTTGTTGGAAGCCAGCTGTGAAGCACACGAATAGCGATCACATGACCACAGGATGTTGCAAGCGTAAGTGCAAGGACTGGTCACAAAGCTACTTTTTCAGTGCTGTTGCAATTTCAAATGGTTGCTAAACAGGGCAGTTGTTAAGTGAGGACTATCTGTATATCTGGCCCTGTTCATTATTTTTTAAATTCATATTAAGCCTTGTTAACTAAGGAATGAAAGGAAAACTGAATTCACTGAGGGTGATCACGTGAACAATTTATTTTGAGATACTTACACAGAGGTCAACATAAAATATATTTGAAACATACCAACTTGCTGGTGACCTTGGTCCATTTAAAAGGTATTACAAAAGAAACTGGTGAATACGAATCCAGAAAAAAAAAATCTACGCCAGACAATTGTGTAGCATTCCTGCTTAACGGAAAGGGTGAAGAACAATATATTGAATCAATTTCAATCTTCAGTTATTATTAAATCCAAGTAACAAATGGGATACTTTTTCATATACTACAAATGTGATACAACATGCAGGAGTGACTCTAATTACATTGGGCATAATTCCTTTGTAAAATCCATGAACTCCTTCTTTCCTATGGAGAAGCAGAACAGATTTATTTGTAACTTTCAACCAGTTTGTAAATTCCTTCAACAAACTCAAATGATGTTATTTTTATATTGTTCCTACTGTATTTTTGGATTATTGTCAACTTGATTATCCATTGCAGAAAACTGCCATGTAAATGTAATTACTAATTCTTTGTACGCTTTTTTTATATTTCCAAATATAGAAATACTAAATCATAATTCCTGGAGAAAATTTTAATTCAGGAAATAACTAATAAACATGTACTGATATCCCACTGAAAGGTATTTGCACATATAGTCAGGTCCAGAAATATTGGGACAGCGACACAATTCTAACATCTTTGGCTCTATATACTACCACAATGGATTTGGAATGAAACAAACACAATGTGCTTTAACTGCAGACTGTCAGCTTTAATTTGAGGGTATGTACATCCAACTCAGGTGAACGGTGTAGGAATTACAACAGTTTGCATATGTGCCTCCCAAAGGGAAAGTTTGATTTATGATTATTATTCTGTCCCATTACTTTTGGTCCCTTAACAAGTGGGAGGCACATATAAAGGGAAAGTTTGATTTATGATTATTATTCTGTCCCATTACTTTTGGTCCCTTAACAAGTGGGAGGCACATATAAAGGGAAAGTTTGATTTATGATTATTATTCTGTCCCATTACTTTTGGTCCCTTAACAAGTGGGAGGCACATATAAAGGGAAAGTTTGATTTATGATTATTATTCTGTCCCATTACTTTTGGTCCCTTAACAAGTGGGAGGCACATATAAAGGGAAAGTTTGATTTATGATTATTATTCTGTCCCATTACTTTTGGTCCCTTAACAAGTGGGAGGCACATATAAAGGGAAAGTTTGATTTATGATTATTATTCTGTCCCATTACTTTTGGTCCCTTAACAAGTGGGAGGCACATATAAAGGGAAAGTTTGATTTATGATTATTATTCTGTCCCATTACTTTTGGTCCCTTAACAAGTGGGAGGCACATATAAAGGGAAAGTTTGATTTATGATTATTATTCTGTCCCATTACTTTTGGTCCCTTAACAAGTGGGAGGCACATATAAAGGGAAAGTTTGATTTATGATTATTATTCTGTCCCATTACTTTTGGTCCCTTAACAAGTGGGAGGCACATATAAAGGGAAAGTTTGATTTATGATTATTATTCTGTCCCATTACTTTTGGTCCCTTAACAAGTGGGAGGCACATATGCAAACTGTTGTAATTCCTACACCGTTCACCTGAGTTGGATGTACATACCCTCAAATTAAAGCTGACAGTCTGCAGTTAACGCACATTGTGTTTGTTTCATTCCAAATCCAATGTGGTGGTGTACAGAGCCAAAGATGTTAGAATTGTGTCGCTGTCCCAATATTTCTGGACCTGACTGTATTAGTGTGATGACTGGGATCTCTAAATCCCTACATAAAAACTTTGTCCATATTCACAGGCTTATATTCCAAATATTATACAGAAGGAAAGAAAAGAATGGGAAGAGACAAAAATAAGTTCAGCTACTTGCTTTCCATCATTCCCTCTGCTGAAACCTGATAAAATCTTCCCACCCTGGTTCACAGCTCCAAGGGGTATGTTCCCAGGCCTGTGCCTTAATTCCAATTCAGAAACCCCCAATTTCCCTATGAAATAAATATTTAATAATCTTGAGAAATGAAGGTTAGGATAGAAAAAACTCTTATTAGATTTACATTCCCAGACCTACCTCCATGTCCTATGGATGACATTGAGTACTCCAGAGTATCTGTTGTGCTGATCCTGGAGACGTGCCCTCACCACCTGATATGGGTATGTTGCTGTGACTGCAAATATTTTGGATAATGCTGCCATGGTAATATATTCTAAAGTGTTCTACGAATGGAAAAGGACCGATGTTAGTTCTCAACTATTTTGCAAAACCACAGAAATGTATCGATTTAAACTCATTACTGTATTTTTCTATCTTTATACAAGTGTTCTAATACCATGATATTTTATACAGCTGTGCAAAGCAACAAAATGGGCTGATGTGAGTGAGGCAGCTGCTCCCTCTAGGAAGCTTGGCATAGTTGCTCTTTCCCAGACTGCCAGTGCATGCGGTCTTTTTATTTGCTTAGGTATTTGTTTTAATACACAGAAATAAAGAAAAAGGAGAAAAACACCACATCTATCTGCAGTAGCTCATGTTTAAACACAGCAGTAAACTCCTGGCTATGTAAAGTAATGTTGGCAACGTTCTCCATTATTTTGATAGAGAGTTCATAAACTGACAGAGAACACACAACATCAATCCAAGACAGTAACCCAAGGCAGCACTGTCTTTCCATTATAACATCATATACGTTTATACCATGCCCCATGATGGTTAAATCCATAGTTCTTCATAACATAATACCTTCCAAATATGCTTTTCAGCCTTTAATGATGGAAATACAATAACATCTTGATGAAAAAAGAACCAAGACCCTGCTGGGTGTCAGCTGATGTGCCCAGTAGTAAACATGAAAGTCAGGAAAGATAGGAATCCACCACTGTACACAACAGTAATTTAGATAAAATTTAGGAGACTATCCTTCAAAACATTAGTAACCTACCAACCTACTTTCTTTTCCAGCCCCACTAATCTGATCTGCTTCCAGTTGGGCACTCCCTATGCAAGAGTGGTGCAGCCCTTCAACTCCTACATGCCAAATCAGGCAAGGAGAAAATACGCCTGGCACCCATCATCATCATCATCATCATCATCATCATCTCAGGCTTATATGTGCAAGGCACGTAGAGCAGAACCAAGTTCTCACAGCTACCCATCTTGGTATGAGCAAGCCCCAAACAATACAACTGCTCAGGGGGTCACAACCCACAGTCTGAGAATCCCTGTGACATATTTATGTGGGAATCCTTGTAGGTACATGCTCAGTGTTGAGGCAATCATCATTTAAATAGCATTTATCTTTTTTCATAAACTCACTGGGATTTTTTTTTTACTATTTATAGTAATAGTAATCTGAGATAATCAGTTTGAAATGTTTACCTCTACAAATAAAGAACCCTGTGATATTTAAAAGAATTCAGACATTAAATGAAGCCCCAATTTTTACAGATTCCTATATATACTGTACATTAGAAACGATAAGAAGCACATGTAGTTTACTCCAATTAATTGGGTAATTATTTACCAAAATGATGTACCACATAAATAATTAAGTCATACTATATCATCAGCATATAATAACGGTGTTGAACAGCCACTTTTATGTCCAGTATGTCCTTCAGTGTCTGAGACGGACCAATAATTTCAGTATCAAATTAAATATAAGAGAAGATTAAGTTCCATGAGACATCTTAATGGAAAAGAAAAAGTACATGAAATATACATATACTGAAGCAGCTGTGTATACATATACATGATGATGACCTGGGAAAGGCCTCCAATCAACAGCCTTATGTCTTCTGGAGAATGTAGCTGACTTAACATTTCAAGGTATGACGTTTTGTGATGCACCCTTTGAATGTGTTGTGCAGCCCTAACATTTTATGTGAAGCAGATGCTTCCAATTTATAGTTTATCTTACCAGTTTCATATCTGATGGTCTGTTTTTATATTTATTATATCGGGATTTTAATTCTTCATAAGCCATAAACTGAAGGGCTCCATGTGATGTTCCAAACAGACCAGGTACAAATCCCTGAAGCAGTTAAAAAAACAAAATGTGAAAATGATCCAGTTTACCATACATATTATATAGTTAAAACCCAGCATTGCCAATACATATATAGTGATGGGGTGATCCAAATTACAGAATACATTTTATAGAAAAGAAGATTCAGTCTGGTTTTCATATATGAATTCTATGAAGGCCATATTTGATTGAAGCACTACTTTACAAAAGCCCTTTTCTAAATTTCAATTTCGATCTATCTACTTATTCAATGACTCAATGATATGTATTTTACAAGTATTAATAACTTTTTAAAAAAATTATAGAATAAACAATTACAATTTAGACATTCTAAGCATACGAGAATGAGAACTGAAACTTAGCCACAAATCTTGTGCACTGAAACCCATGCGACGACTGTTCAACCTGTTCAATGACAAAATACTAATATTAGAACTCTTGACCAGCCTCCTAATTAACTTACCTTATATAGCCCACGTATACCTTCATATTTGTATATTTTAATAAGAGCGTCAATCATTCCTTCGTACTGCTTCTTTGACAAGTCAACACCAGCTTCATATTGTAACACAAGTCGAGTCTTGGTTACCCATATTGGGTTAGTAATACACAAAGTCATCGCTCCTATCAAATATAATTTGAAAATCTTATCAGTGCTAGCATTTTAGTATTAGAGAACTTCAAACATAATTTGCAAATTTCTGATTTCAATAAAATCTGTTGTTTATGAAACATAGGACCTATTTATGTACTGTATCTCATGAAATGTATGTATTAAAATTGCAAAAAACTCAGTATCTATAATTCAGTGGCAAATATGTACTGAAGAGTTATATATAACTACAATTATAATCCTAAATCAACTCTCTTTGGAGGAAAATCCATTTAATACATTAATTTTTTTTCAGTATAAATTGTATTGTAAAGTTGGGAATACATTTTGTGGCATCTTTGTATTGTGGCCAGGAAGTATGGATAAGAATTTATATTTATAAGTTAGTGTCAAAAAAATCTTATAGCAAGTTGAGTATTTTTACTTTCAGAAGGACAAAAACATATTTGTAGATGTTCAAAATTATTTTCTGAACAAAACATAACTCAACAAAAACAAAGCACAGCATATAGGCAGGCTAGAAATAGCTCATATATTTCTTACCAGCTTCAGCTGCTGATACTAGGTGTTCAGCTGCTCCAAGGCTTTCCAGCTTATCCTCTGTCTTGTAGGCTTTAATTGCATTGTAGCTGAAGAATCAAATATAAAGTAAGGTTAGCAAATCCAGATTATTACTTGTTATAGAAGCATTAAAATAACCTGTATAAGTAAAGCTTAGGTAGCCATATTGGCTGTAAGAAAAACCTCAGAATATTTATTGTGGGAATATCACAAACCACCATGCAGGCTTTTGAGTTTTAAGAACTTTTTATCTAATAAGACTGTAATAACCCCTCATTTCTGCTTATTTTTGCATCTTGCCTGGTTAGCAATTTTGGGAATTTGAATGTTTGCATACCATTGTGTGATCCTGAGCTTGTGTATATTATTGTCATGGGAATAATGGAATTGTATATAAATTCATCCAAATTAAGCATCAATATAAAATGTAGGCTTGAACTAAATAGCTATTTCACACATGCCCAATTACTGTGAATAGCTTTCCTCAAACTGACCCTGTGCACATTCACAAACAGCTTTCAATATTTTCCTGTGGTTCAAAGACAATTAGATATTGCCTGCTTTCCCTAACATGGGACTTTCCATATGTTTGTGACAAAATTCTTCCAAGGAAGGAGGTTTGGATATGGCATTAAAAGTAAGGCCACAATCTAAAGCCAAATAGATTTTGATGTCTGACAATCTTGAATTATATTCAGTGGCCACAAAATGGGAAGGCAGCTTACACAACTGATGCTTCTCCTCACTTCTTCTGTTGAAGCTCCTGGTATATGCTATAAACGTCTCCAGGTGACCAAGAGGCAATCCTAAACAGTACTGCTGTGTTATATACAGATTGGGGCAGCGCAATAGATTTCATTCTAAAAAGATGCTTCAGAGAGAGCACGGTCGCAAACGTAGCACTGTTTTCCACTCTATAATGCAGCTGAATCTTTTCCTGGAAAAAGACTTCAGAGGGCTGTTATGTTAGTATCCTAACATGTTCCAAAGCACCTTTTGGGGAACTGAGTCCAAAATGATACATAGCCCTAATACAGATGTAATGCAAGAAGAGAAATTATCTGAAATCACAGACAGGAGCTTGCAACATCCCTCTCTACCTGCTTCCGCTTTCCCACTGCAGTCTTGTATGACACAACCGATAATCTTAGATAGGTCTCCAAGTCTCCAGAGAAGATCTTGGGGAGTACAGGAGGCTATGGGGAGGAGGAAAGGAAAAGAAAGATCAGTTGCGCAAGTTGCCTTTCAAACCACTGCACAATGACTCCCGACAGCTATTTTGGTGAGAGGAATTCAATTAGCTATTCAGCCACTGTATGAAGGTTACTGGGTGGTCAAGGAAAGTGTTGCCAAGATTGAGAGACACAGGTCTAGGGCAATAAATATACGTGTGCGTGTGTGTATATAAATAATATCAGACAATTCCCTGCACAGTAACATACTCTCTCTCCTTGTATGTTTCTATAAAATGCTGTATAAAATTAAGGAATGCAATATAAACAAATTGCGGAAGAAAACAAAAAGTCCTCATTAAATAATTATTCTGTTTTTATTGAGAGCAATTCATATTAAATATACTTTAAAGTAGTAGTTGGTGGATAATATGAGATTGCTCATTTAACAGTTGGATTTGTAGTAGTGCCAATAAGAAAGCAATCTTCTAGAATATAAAATGTGTGGTCTATTATATTATATACTATGTTTATATATTTCAAAAAATTCACAACCTCTAGAAGTTAATAATAGCAAGTTAAGCTTTTGATATTGTCTGTGAAAGAATAATCCAAAGCAGCAGAAGTGAGACCATGTAAAAGCTGTTGAGAAGTATTAGATTAGTGCTGTACAATCTTCAGGCTCAAGCCTGGATGGACAGAGTTAACATCTTTGTTAGTATGCTGTAGAAGTAAAACAACTGGGGAAAAGGAAAACTGTTTTGGGATTAACTGGGAATCATTTAAACAGCTTCAACTTACAAGAAAAAATACAGACCCCAAGAGGCACCTGCCCCCCAAACATTTGGAGTCACTCCTTGGTACAGACCACGTAATCCTTCTTGTTTCCAGATGGTTGACAAACAATGCAAGATACCATTGTATTTTGGTCTCAGCTCCAAGCCATCATTCACTATACAAAAGAATTGGAAATTAGTCCAAATGCTGTATGCCCTTGAATCAGTCAGTGAGCAATATGACTCTCTTAGACGATCACATTACGAGTATATATATTTTTATGAGAGCAAAATTCCAATTCACGCATTATGCCTCTACAGGCTATATTAACAACCTCATCCCTGATTCCCTAATAGTTCACAGTCCTCAGTCCCTCCTCCACAGGCAGAAAAAGCAGTGGATGTATCTTACATCTTTAAATTAATTTGGGAAAGACAGAAGAAACATCCAGGTCATAAAACATAATTTTTGGAACAGCAATGTTTTAATGCAGAAAATTCAATATCTAATCTGTGGCCTCTGGAGTTAAAGGGTGATCTTAAACAGCAGGCCTAGAAATGGCCTGCCAGCTAAACCAGAATAGTGGACTGAAGGGACCAATGACCCGATTCAGTATTTAGCAATGGTGTATATACAACATTAATGGAGAAGATATGAGTAAAGTCGGGGCAGTTACCACCTGTGGTATCAAGGTCCTGTCAGTTTCTAGGGAAGAGGATGCAGAGAGGGTCTAGTTTTTCCCTTTTATGTACTGTGCTTCAAAGCATTATCGCGCAAGCCTCAGCCTGGCAGTTTTGGATTTGTAATATGGAAGGAGGAGGTTTGGATCCAAGGTAGCCCTCAATCCCTTTCAGGAGTTAACTGTACGACTCCTTCCGGTGGGGAAATGCTACTGGAAATAGATCTACCTCAGAGTAGCAGCAGAAATACACCCGAAGAAGCACAAGTTAGTTACTACAACTATATATTTTTTTTATATCTCACTTTCGTTTGGGAATGCAAAGCGACTGTACTTATTTTCTCCACAACGATCCTGCGCCCATTTAATGTCCGCCTCTCTGGCAGCGGGGAAGAAGAGCGGAGCTCACCTGCGAAGCGGATCTTGACCAAGTCCAGCGGGTGGAGGACTAGCGTGGAGACGACGCCACCGCTCAGCCCGGCCAGCAGGTTCTCGTAGCGCACGTGTCTGAACAGGGGCTTTGCCGTCGGGGCCGAAGTAGCCGACGGGGAAGAAGCAGAGCCCGCCAGCGTACCCTGGACGCCGGGAACGGTGGCGGAATTCATGGGAGAGAAGCAAAGGGAGTCAAAGCGAGAAAAAAAGACCCCGCGCGAGACCCGTAGACACTCGCGTGAACACTAGATTTCCCTTTGACCTCCCCGCCGCCTCCTTCTTCCTATAGGCAGCAACCACCAGTCGCTCATAGTTGCTCCTCCAATCACCCGACAGCATTCATGGCCGGGCCCTCCACGAGGGCGGGGCAAGCGTTCCTGTGATCGCGCGGCGGCCGGCTTCTTTCGCCTAAGGTTCTCACCGGCCTCGGCCTCCGGTGACGCCTCGATTCGGAAGTTGTTACGGGAGGTGCTTCTTTTCCCACGTGTTTCGGCGTAGGGGGGTCTCCGGACGGCGGATCGACTCCCTCGGCACGGAAAATGAGGGTGAAGGTGCTGAGCAGGAACCCGGACGACTTTGTGCGCGAAACCAAGCAGGACCTTCAGCGGGGTGAGCGCGACAAGAGAAGCGGGCGGAGGAGGATCGCTCCCTAGGAAACCGGCGAGGGCGCCTCGTTCACAGTAGCCGAGGGGGGCCGCTGCTACATGGCCACGGTTTAATTAGGATTATAAAGGGAGCCGTTACTTTTATTACGAACTTCTCGCCCGGCCCAGTTCCCATCAGGCTGAGGGAAATTTGTACCTGGAGGCTGAGCGGGTTGTTGTTAGCCTTTGGGCTGAGCCCTGATCCCGTTTTTAGATAGTGAGGTGCTGTCGATGGAGTTCAGTTCTTGGGGAGGATGTAGGCATAATTAGGATTTGAAAGGTGGTAAATATAAAATGGGAAATGGATAGTAAATCCAAGGGTGGAAAAAAATGTTTTCCAGGATACTCCTGGCTTTTCACAAAGTACAACAAAATTCAGAGGCAACCTTTATTGATGGTAATATGTTTATTGTGTTATTCGCCTTATTCTAGTTCCACGGAATTATGATCCTGCGTTACACCCATTTGAAATTCCACGGGAATACACAAGGGCGCTAAATGCAACTAAATTAGATCGTATATTTGCGAAACCTTTTGTTGCATCATTAGATGGTCATCGGGATGGAGTTAATTGCATGGCTAAACATCCACAAAGCTTATCTACAGTTCTGTCTGGAGCATGTGATGGAGAGGTAAATGCTACTATAAGACGGCTGAAGCATATGTTTTCATGGTGATTATTAAGTATAGCTATGAAAACTTTTTATAGATTTTGCTAAACGTTTTCCTGTAACATGAGCAAGATTACAGACTTGCTTTTAATGCTTATGGTTACCTCAACAGATCAGGATTCCTTAGCTTATGGCTACCATGACTTTTGATCCTGTTTTTTCATTAATGTTGTCCTTCCCTATGATACAGATGCTTGAGGAAAAAAATAAAACAGGAAACATGTGACCTCCAGAAACAATTGTCAAGTTATAGTAAGAGGGATTTGATAACTTTTACTTAATCTTTTAGCCAGCATAGAAAGTGTATAGGGATTAAAGGCAGCATTATGCAAACAGAATTCTTTTCACAACTGAAGAAAAATTTCTCCATGTCCTTTCCGTGCTTATACCACAACAGGTGTTGTGCAAACATTTAGTTCTGAATTGAATTTGTTTCTATTCTGGCTGATGGAAATAAGATATTTCCTTTTGGAAGATCATCTGGCTTCTGCCTCGGGTTTCTGAGTTGCAGCAATTCAAAGTCTAATTATGAAATCAGTGTGGGAAAACTAAAGTGTCGAATGAAATTCTGTCAGTTTAACTATTAAAAAGATTTCCTGGTACTGTTCAGCTTTATTTTTTATTTCTGTTCAGCTCCCAGAGTGGTAATTTGCTACTATTATTAAATGCTGGGAAATATTGCCTATGTCTAGATTTCAAATGAAGATGAACAGTTTTGTTATAAACTTAATTATGGATTACCATGATATAAGTACGTTGATTTTATTAGGTTAGAATCTGGAACTTGATGAAGCGTGTATGCATCCGTACATTGCAAGCACATGAGGGCTTTGTAAGAGGAATATGTACCAGTTTTTGTGGCACCTCTTTCTTCACTGTGAGTATAATATTGGGAATTAAGGAGTGATATTGAATGCTTATTGTATTTGTTGCTTTTTGCTACTTTTTGTGATGCATTTTGTTTAGCTTATAGTTTATAAATTCTAGTACTGTTAGTTTATAATGCTTGCTTCTTACTGTAGTTTATTGTTTGCACTGTAACAATGTTTTAACTTTCAACATAAATTCTTCCTGGAAGTCTAAAGCAAATTGAGAGATAAACTTACCCTTTGTGGCAGAACCTGTTCCTTTCTTTGAGATTCCAACATTAGCAAAGAACAACTTAATGGTTAGGTTTCTGTTTGAAGATGATAGGTAGCTACACTTGAAAAGTGAATGTGATTTAAACATTTCCTAAATTGTGCAACTGTTGGTTTTGCTTCCACCAAACAATTCAGTAATTATACCCTTGTGAGCCTGCAGTATATACTTCACCATAGATAATAGTACTTTTGTTTGGTGGGAATGTGAATTTGTTTATGACTATTTTGAAAGTATTTCATAAAGTATTATATTTAGATCATTTGGATATTTTTGGATCTTAAGTGTGCTGCTTGATTCAGTGTGTTTCTACATAGAATATATCCCACTTTCTTTTGATCTTTATGGTAAAAGTAGCTGTCTTGACACATGGCATTGATATAGTTCACTGCTTCATTCAGCTGTTCTTTTCACATTTTTTCAGAGGACACGAGCTTATTTGTTTTTTAAATTCTGTTTCATAAAAATACCAAGATTATGGAATAGACATGAAGTAGAATAAGAGACAATATTTCTTCAGCTGGAAAACAATGGTGATATGAAAAACTGGCATTGTATTTACTTGCTATGTTGGATTTGTTTTATGTATATACTTGAAAGATTGATATAAAACTGTTCATAATGCTTTCAACATAAAGAGGAAAGGACTGGTTCATAAGGCTGTTACTAGACATGTGCTGTGCTTTGGATTCAAAGCTGAAAAGGTGCATTGGAGATGGGCTTACAGAGCAGCTTACACAGTCCCAAAAACATGTGTTTGACTTGATTGACTATGTGTCTCTGCTCATTCCAAAGTTTGTTTTTGGCTTCAGAACTGAAGTTCAGTGCATCTATAGCTGCTACTGTGAAAATTTAATCTTCTATTTTTTCAAATCATTAGGTGGGTGATGATAAAACGGTGAAGCACTGGAAAATGGAGGAGCCAGCTTATGGGGAAGCAGAAGAACCAATAAATACCATTCTTGGAAAGGTATTAATGTATTAATTATCTTGTTTTACTTTTTCTTGAATTTGTTTTGCAATGTACAAACTTAGAATCCATATATTTTTTCTGAAACTGATTTTTATTTCCTTTAAGGATAACAAATGGGTGTAATATTTCAATTGTAAAACTTTCTGGAACTTGGATTAAGAGAAGAGCCATTGTTTAGCTTTGATCTAATTATTGTAGCAGCAACTATTAATACAACAGTAACTGCTCATTTGGGATTTGTTTTTACTTGCTGTAGGTTTGCTGAAAGTATGACCAAATTAACTAAAACCTGAAGCTCTCCAGCTGTTTTGAACTGTAGTTCCTATAATCCTTTGTTATTGTCCATGCTGGCTGAGATTGATGGGAGTTGAAGTCTGAAATGCTTGGAAGACATCTGGTTATGCACACAAATGAAACATTCTGATAGAAGAACCACTAAAATGCCGTGGGTCTGAATTATTTATACTATGCTATATAGGATGATCTATGTAATTTAAAAATCTTGTGAGGGGGGTTAGTATTTATACAGTTCATAACGTTTTTGAAGTGTTGTATATTATACAGCATTTTAAAAGCAAGGAAGCAGGCGGCTGTACATGCTTCTTGGAGCTATGGACAGGTTCAAGAGTTAATGAGAAGAACCAACAGTATCTATAAAAGTCCTTCTGTTCTCAGATGACCCAGCTGCCATGATGATAGTGAATCTCTGGGTCATAGCAAGTTTTAGAAGAAATGACTCCTGCCAGATTGGGATCAAATAACCAGTAGCTGATAAAATAACCAGTAGCTGATCCTTCGCAAAATGGATTTCTTTACGCAGGCTGTTACTGATGTCTCAGATTTAAAACCTTTGACTATAAAATCCAGTAGTTGATTCTGTTTGTTTTTTATATTTTAAAGACAGTGTACACTGGAATCGATCATCATTGGAAGAAACCTGTATTTGCTACTTGTGGTCATCAGGTTGATATCTGGGATGAGCAGAGAACTAGTCCTTTATGTTCTTTGACTTGGGGAGTCGATAGCATAAACAGTGTTAAATTCAATCCAATTGAGGTAATAATTTGGTTAGTTTATATATGATACTATAACTGTTTTCACTAAATAACAATACTAGCAACATGGTTATGGTCATAAAACATATGTGAAGACACTGGTCTCTGCCACAGGGATTTTAAGTAAAACAAAACTGAAGAATGAGAAGGCTTAAGTGACTGCAGAAATGCCTAGAATATATCATGACTGAGGCAGCTTAAACATTGATTAGATAAATAAATTCATTTGAATAAAGCAGTCCTTAATCGAACAGATCCTCGAGACTCTTTACAGTTATACTCATTTTTCAGCCAATGTGGTTTTATACTTTTTTAAAAATCATTGATATTTAAGGAAGGATGCGGTTTGGTTTTGCAATAATAAATCTGACAGGCTGAATTAATTTTGACTCTTGGGAACTATGGATAACAAACCGGAGCAGGATCAAATATTAAAGTGCAAATGGATTTTTAAAGAGGGGGAAGAATGACTTGCTGAACAGCAGTGATAAAAGTGGGGAAGTATTTGCAGAAAGATGAAAGTTGGAACATGAAGAATGCTTCAGAAGCCTCACAGCAAGTGAGTGCTAAGACAATGCAGAGCAGTGCTTAGCAAGGATAATTGCTTGCCTACTCTGTACTAGGTAGCCTTGAGTTCAGTAGTTTCCAGTGTGGGAATGTGTAGGGCCTTTGTTTTGTTCAAGAACTATAAAACCCTATAACAATCTGCTCCTATTCCTGAGAAAGGGGGATAAGTGTGCTACTACACTGTCCTTTTCATTGCTCTCCACATGTAGAGGGTGAATGTCTGCCACAAGGCGAGGGAATGGGAGGAGCCGTAGCTATCACTTCAGCTTGAGAGCAGTGAGTCTTAAAAATAATATGTGGAGTCTGCAGATAGAGGAGGTTCTCCATCTGTGAATTCTATGTATTTTTCTAGAATCCTGTTCTCACTGAAGTGCTATTTGGTGAATGTAAGAAAACCTATCCTTTTCACACACGAACACTTGAAAAGCGGGTGGAGGATTGTTGTTACGGCATGAGTACTTAGAAAATGTTTGAGTTTAATTCTCTGCACTTGCTCTTTTTTTTTAAGCAACAACATTTTTTTAAAAAATCAGCTGCTGTTTTGTGCATGTGCCTTTGAAAGCTTTATTAATTTAAGGATAAGGGTGCTAGTTAAAACAGGTTATTTACATATTATGTCTATTTCTGATTAATAACTGCAGTTATACCTAAATCAATTTCCTGCATAATGATATTTAAATAGTAATGCAATTATAATCAAATTCTACTAGAGAACTTGCATATTTGGGCAGATTCAAAATACAATAATTAAATAATTCTTTTCAGATGAATATTTTGGGAAGCTGTACTTCAGACAGAAATATTGTGCTGTATGATATGAGACAATCAACTGCCCTAAAGAAGGTAATATACATATTCTTTAAAAAAAGTCCACTTGCATGAACATGTATGTACTAATCAATTGTGCATTAAATACTGCTTCATTTTGATATTTGCACAGATTTAGATTTTTCTAGTTCAAATTCCTGTAAAATGTATAAAACACAGAAAACAGCTGTATTGGAGATCGTTGTAGATAGGGTGGGCAACTTTTTGGTAATTGTGAGCTTGCATTTTTAAAAAATTATTTTGTCCGGCAAGGCCTGCAGTGAGTGTGATGGTGACTTAATGACCTCCCCATTGAAGGAAGGATTTGGAGATTTGGTGGGGGTTACATTATCTAGATTGATTAACCCTTTCTGAGGCTTCACACAATAATTTTTCTCTGTTCACTGAAAATAAGTGGAAATTGTATCATAGTTATTTGCTTTTGAATGTTGGTAGTCCTTGAGTTACAATCATTTGTTCAGCGACTGTTTGAAATTACGATGGTGCTGAAAAAATGGACTTATGACTGGTCCCCAAAGTTATGGCTGTTGCAGCACCCCTATGGTTAAATGACCGTGACCTGAGAGCTTGGCAACCTGTTTGCACTTACGACATGTGATCACCATTTGCAACCTTACCTGCCAGCTTCCTACAAGCAAAGCCAATGGGGAAGCTGGCAGAGGAGGTCACAAGTCGCTTGGGTAAGTCTCCCCCACTCACCCCGGCCTTTCTTTGCTTGCATGCACCACACCCTTCTTATCCCTTCGATCACATGAACGCACTGCACCCTCTTTCCCCCTTCGCTCGCATGCACCAGTGCCCTCCTCCCCCTTTCGGTTGCTCACACATACCGTACCCCCTTCATGCTGCGCTGCAGCTCTGGGGTTTTGCAGGAGGAAGGAGAAAGCCTCATGAGCAGCCAGAAGCTTCCAGTGTGAGTTGCAGAACATGCACTGAAGCACCCTAGAGAGTCCTTCAGTCCCTGGAAGTGCCCCTGGAGAATCCTCAAGCAAGCGAAGGAGGGTGCGGTGTGTGCGTGGGCGAGCAAAGGGGGAAGGAGGGTGCTGGTGCATTTGAGTGAGTGAAGGAGGGAAGGGGGACGCTGGTGCATGCAAGCAAGCAAAGGGGGAAGGAGGATGCTGGTGCATGCATGCAAGTGAAGGAGGGAAGGAGGGCGTGGTGCGTGCATGCAAGCAAAGGTCGTAAGTCGAGGACTACCTGTAAGTGGTCAGTTTTGCCACTTCAGCAAGACATTCAGCACAGTCCCTTTCATTGCCTTTTTGTTTAATTCAAAACAGGTTAGAGAATTCCTGAGCAGTGAAGCAAATTGCTGCCAGTGTATTTCTGATCTACATTTAAACCGATAAATGTAATTTGAAAATAGCTGTCCTAAAGGCAAGGCAATAACATGAGCTGAACTTGTTGCTGTGTATAGTATTGTAAAGGTGCACTGGTTGTGATGATTGATGGCCTAAAATAGGAGTTACTTTATTTTTTACCTACTGCTTCAGTTAAGATAAATTGAAAAATGTTTCTAATGAGAAAATTGTGCTTCATTTATATGCTAAATTCATTGAAATGTTTTAGAAAATAAAATGTGCATTAGCTTCCCCCAATTCAGTACCTGTTTATTTTTGAATTCTGGGAATTATAGTTCCAATTAATCTGGAAGGTAGCAAATTTTTAAAGTGTTTATATAAATAGAAAAGGAGGGTATAAATTTAATCATAAATGTGAATCAGTTGAGGAAGGGTAATGTTAATTGTGCCTGTTATAGGAACTGAATTTTTGGAGCAGTAGATTCTGTGACCCCTTCATGGATCACTGCCTTGTCGTGGCGAAGGGGCTTGCGTAACTCAGTGAA